TAAAATCCTTCCAGTGTGATTTAGCTGTAGACTTAAGAATGAGAACAATCAGTGCAACAGAGAAATGATTTGTAGGGTCAACTCCCTGGAAAAAACTTTGAATAGCCAACACTACTTCTTTCTTAACAATGTTCCAACAAGAAATATAAAAAGTGGAGGTGAAACCATCGGGGTCAGGAGCCTTCTGTGAGCTAAATATCTTTAAGGGCATTGAAAATTTACAACTCAGTAGGGGGGTCCGACAAAGAGAGATTGGAGATCATATCTCTTTGGTCCTCAAAATAATCAGAAATAATACCAGTGATGAGTGGAGTATCAGCATAAAGAGAAGAAAAATAATCAGCTGTATTAAATCCAATCTGATCAGCATTAGTAAGAGTGAAGCCCTCATCGGTAACAATCTTGATGATGGTGTTTATGTTACGATGATGTTTGATAGTGGCATGAAAATATTTGGTATTTCTGTCACCATTCTTGAAATGATTATCACAAGCTTTCTGTCTGAGGAAATCTTCATCAATAGAGATTTCCTCTAAAAGAGTGTGGTGAGCATCCGCTAGTTTAGGCCCAAGATCGGGAGTAGGAGTAGCAATCACTTGAGCTTTTAAATCATCCACCTCTTGTTGGGCCTTTAGAACCCTAGAGTGAACATTACCAAAAGTGTTAATTTTCCATCTTTTTAAATGAAAAGCCACATTCTTATGCAGTTGCCACAACGTAAGCCAAGGATTCTCACTTCTGTTAGAGACCCAAACCTGTTTAATCAAGTCAATGAAAGTGGTGTGAGTAGCCCAAACATTAAAAAATTTAAAATGATATCGAGAAAGGCTTTGAATGAAAAGCTAAAGTAAGCAGGATCAGATTATGATCCGAAGCAGCATGATTCAAATGCTTGACTTGAATAATATTATAGTAGCTCAAAAACTGAGAGTTTCCCAAGAATCTATCCAAACGTTGTAACAGAAAACCTCTTCGCCAAGTGTAAGGAGGACCAGAGAAACCTAAATCATAAAGGTCAGCTTCCTCAATATGTTCACATAAACGATTAATAAAATTTGTGTCAATCTTAGCACCATTCCATCTCTCTGTAGGCGACATAATCATATTTAAATCGCCTCAAACGAACCAATTATCATTAATTACAAGCCCCATATGAGTAAGTTGTTGCCAAAGAAAGAATTTATCCCTTAAGTGAGAGCTAGCATAGATAAACGTAGCCCAACCAGAAAACAGTTCAAATTAATATTGAATGAGAACATATTGCACATTTTCATCAATGATATTAACAGTGATATTCTTCTTCCAAAAAAAGCCAAATTTTGTTGTTCACATTGCAGAAATGCGAATAACCCTTGAGCCTCTTGATGATGCTATCTTTATGAATTGAAACAAAAGGCTCCAAAATAGCAAGGATGTCAGGTTTATGAATCCTACATAAATGCTTTAAACGATTAAAGGAGTGATGGTCCGCCACTCCTCTAATGTTCCACACCAAAACATTAAACATTGTGACCCATGACACCCTCCCCTCTAGCAATCCTAGAGGGTAGGTGTCAGTGCTCACCTTCTGAGTGATAAGTGACATCAGTAGTATTTGATTGTGGTAATTTCGGTAGTTCAGATTTCCTTCTCCCTCGTTTTCTACTATATCTCTGAATTTGCCATTCAGATTCAAGGACAGAGACAACAATTGTGGATGGATCCTGCTGTGAGATAACGTGATTGGAGGGACCGGAAGAGGAAGGTTGGGCGGGGTCGGCAACTACAGGTACGTGAGTGGAGGGTTCGGTTTGAAGGTCAGTGAAGATAGGGCTTCAGCCAAGTCAGTAACTGTAACATCCACGGTAAAGTGAGCCACCTCAGCATCCCCCATACCAGGAGTAGGTATTCTGTTAATTTCTAAAGAAGGAACAGACAAATCATTTGAACCTCCAACCGCCACAACATCTTCAGCAAGAGGGTCAACTGAAACCACCACAGCATCAACAGTCTGCATAGATGGTTGTGAGAATGTAGGTTCTGCTCTCCAGGGGGCGGTCGATTGGTAGGGAATTTTCTTAATTCAGGATGTAAACGGAAACAATGCTCAGAGTCATGACCAAACATGCTACAATGCCTACAGTAATATGGATGTTTTTCAAGCAAAACCGACTGTCAGTAACCCGTATGAGTAAAGTATCCAAATATCCTCCGGTGGAGGTAAGGTTATATCTCTCTCAATTAATATTCTAGCAACCGAGGGCCTTGTGAGATTGCCTTGTGTTGTGAGATTGAAGGTATGAGCATCAAGCATTAGAGGTTTCCCGTACATGACAGCAATCGAGAATAAAATTTCATGATTGAACAAATGCACTTTCAGACCAGGGAGTTTAAGCCAGACAGGGATAACAGGGAGCTCGGTTTTGGGGTCAAAGTCAGTTGTCCATTTAAGGACCTTCATCCAAACATCACCAAAATGGACAGTTCTACGGGCGAAAAACTTTGCATAATCATCTTCATTAGAAAGTTGTATCAAAATATGTTGGCTATCCAAGGCCCCGATCTTCCATCCTCCCGATAATTTCAACAACTCAAAATTCTTCAACAGAAAGTCATATTTCGGTAGACCATAGAGAAATTTACCAACCAAATGAAAACGACAGCAGAGGCGAGGATATAATTTTCAGAATTGGAGAGAAAAAGCGCGTTTTTACCCCCCTTACGACCTTAAGGTTTAATGAAGCTAAAATCACCCCCAATAACAAGCGAATCATGGAAAGAAGAAGGGAAGACAAACTTTGCAGGAGACCCAGAAGATGAAATCCCTGCAGTGACCCCAGCGTAAGTCTTATCCATGACGTAACGAGAAGAAGAAGACGAGAGATGAAAGCGGAGAGCGAGGGGAAAGCCTAAAACGAAAAACCAGAAAGATCTCACCAGGGGTTGCCTTCGTTTAGCCGCTAACATCTTCGCGTCGCCACGAAATCACCCACGGTGCCAAACCCTAGCAGAGCGGCCGTGATCATTTCGATATTGTAAATTATATATAAATCGCCCGCGGTGCCAAACTCTAGCAGAGCGGCCGTGATCATCCCGATATTGTAAATTATATATATATCTGCATATATATATATATATGATGACTTTATAAAACTGATTACAAAGCATAAGTTCTATAATGATGGTGATGGTGCTCCTTTTAGTAAAAGATATCGTGCAAAAGGAGATGAGCGTAAGTTCCCATCAACAACTTTTTAAATGTGAAGTTTCATTTTTTGTTTGATTACAAACACCCCCCGCCCCTGCAACTCCCTCCCACCATCCAGCCTTTCCTCTCTGCTCGTTCCACCCCACCACCATTCTCTTACGACATCCAATTATATTTTACTGTGCTTGATGTTCGATTCCTCATATCTGTTCTGCTGCAGTACTGTTAAAATGTTTTCCTCTTGCCTTTATAAGCATTTATCTATTATTTTATCATTCTCTTGCCCTCTTTCATTTCTAACTTTGTCATCCAAATCTTACAATTAGATTTAATTGCCACTTAATGTCTTGCTTAATGTGGGACCTGTTGAAGCCAAGTAAAAGTTTACTCTTATGAAAATGAAGACACCTTTGAGTTGACTATCTAAGTGTTATTTTTATGTTGTTTTTTCTGTTTCTAAAGACCTTCATTTGAGTAGATCTAAAATTAAATACATGGAATGTAATTTTAGTTGTAGTAGTAGATTTAGTGGCAAAGTTGTAACAATTGGTGATTAAATCATTTGAATGAGTGAACATTTTAGATATCTTGGGTCTATTGTTCAAAGTAATGGTGATATAGATGTGGATGTTATTAGCAGAATTCAGGTTGGATGGTTGAAGTGGAGGCATGCATCAGGCTATTGTGTGATATAGAAAAGTACCCCTTAGACTTTTATAAGATGCCGAGACTTGCAATGCTTTATGGCGCATAATGTTGGCCTATAAAAGAGAAACATAAAACTAAGTGTTGCTGAGATGAGAATGCTTAGAGGATGAGTGGCTTTACACTTAGAGACAAAATGCGAAATGAATATATCAGGGTTTGTGTAGTTCCAGTGGCAGATAAGATTAGAGAGAGTCGTCTTAGATGGTTTTATCATATTAAATACCGACCATCTGATGATCCGGTTAGGAGAGTAGATATTTTAGATTCGACTTATCAAGACAGATGTGAACCTAAAAAGGCATAGACATATTGTATAAAAAATGATATTAATTTATTAGAATTAAATGAAAATATGACACTCAATAGGGCACAATGGAGAAAAAGGATTCATGTAGCCATCCTTAGTGGGATAGAGGCTTGTTCTTGTTGTATATATTTTGCGTGCGTATTTAAATTTCAATTTGATTGTATGGTCCTGGCTTAGCATTCCAAGCTTAGGGCAAAGATTTTGACATTATTCCTCTTGTTGATAAGATAGGGCGACCACCATAGAGGCCAACAAAGAAATTTCATGACCGCATGAATTTTCTGATTGCTGTTTAATTTTCGTTCAATGTGTAATTTTTAATGATCCTGATTTCTATGCCACAGTTCTATTAGGAAATTACTAAATTATTGCTTTCCTAAATTTTTAGTATTTTTTTCTGGTTTTTATTAAAAAAGATGAATTTTCATTTAAATTAGTGATTTATGAAATATGAAATTTTATCTTTGTTGGTAATTTCAGCCATTACATCATGTGGTTGTGCTAGAAAATCGTAGACTCTCAAGGAAACCTGCATTACTTGTTCTCCACTTAATTTAATGAGCCTTACGTTACTTTTCTGCATTTATTTGTTTTACATTTAGTAGAAAAGGTGCAGCTGTTACAGCTTCTCCAAGAAATGCTCCGCATGAGAAGAAAATTCAGGGAAAATGTTACAAGGATAAGTGCTATGAGCAAATTAGAAAAACAGTTGAAGAAAGGTTTAACAAATTGCTGACACAGGTTTGACTACATGTACCTAGGATATGTTCTAAATTTTATCTCAGAGGAAAGTATGAAAATAGTCTCCTAACTTTTTATATGGGTCATTTTAGTCTCATAATATATAAAGTGCCAGATTAGGAGGACTATTTTAGCCTTAATTAAAAGAGTTTGAGGGCTAAATTGACACTTTTATAAACTCTGGTATTAAAATGACCCACTTCAAAAAGTCAGGGGTCCATTTTATCGCTTTTCTCTTTTATCTCATGACAAATGTACGGTATGCCATCAATGTGCATTTTTGCAGCTTGTGTTTGAAGATCTAAAAGCTTCTTTGGAGGAAGCCCGAGAGGTATAGTTCTCTTTTCAATCAGATCATTTTTGTCAACCCCATCTTTAAATTTTTGTTGGACATGATGTGAATAGCACTTCGGCAATTGCCCTCTTGCAATACTTTTTTTTAAAATGCTTTCAATGAATTTCCCTCGTGTTACTAAAGAATGAAGCAGTGTAGGCATTTAATGGAAGTGTACTGAGGTGAAGTTTTCATATATGAAGTAAACACTGCAGATGATTTAAAATACATATGCATCTATTGAAATGTCCTAGTGACCTGTAATGAACATCCGTCTGCATATGTACTCATGAGCTCATAAGATCGAAGGAAGATTTACATGCATTCCACTCAATTCTAATGTATTTAAATTTCTAACACCTAAACTTCATTTTTTTATAAACATTGCTACCTTCCCTATGTATGAAATGTGTATTTCACATTTTAAAGTTAAAATGATGGTATTTTTGATTTGGTATGAAAGATTTGTGTGGTATAAATGTAAAAATTAAAGTTTTGGTGTTAGATATGTAAAGATAAGAATTGGATGGCATGTTATGTAAATGCCCCTAAAGTAAATTACCGTTAGAAAAGTTCAGTCCATTTTTCACTAATATCAGATACCTTCATGGGGTATCCTTAACTAACATTGTTATTTTATTCGTAACTTGCGATTTATGATTGATGTGTATTGATGATGCATTTGGAGGATACTATTGCTCAAAAACTGGGCTAAAGGATAAAATTCCGTTCACAAACTCTTAAGCAAAGACTTCCAAGCTTTTTGATGCAGATTATAAAATATGTGAAACTTGCTTGAAATAATAATTTAAAGATCTTTTAGGAATGAACTTTTGCAAGAAATCCTAAGAGGGAAATAAAGCCATACAACGGTTAGGTTTTACACTGCAAAAGAAACATTAATTTATAGCAGACGATTAAATGTAAATGCAAATCATGCATGCAAACAAATTAAAAAATACATAGATTAAAATAAACAAGATATACGTCAATAAATTGAAAACTCAAGCCTTATGTCAATGCAAAGTGACTGCCACACATAAATTGTTTTGTGAGTTGAATATGCTTAAAGAATTCATATCTAATAACACAAATTTGAGAGGAATTTGGAATTTTATCAATCAATTTATAAAATTAGATGCCTCATCAGGTTTTCTTATAATACAAGATTGGTTTCTATTTTATTCTTGCTTAAAGCATCAAAAGAACACTTCTTGATTCCATACTTAAAATAAAGGAGCATTTACGTACATAACAGCCAATTTCTATATATTTACATTTCTAACACCTATACTTCTTTTTTTATATTTATACATCCCAAATCTTCAATATTACTTAAAAAAAATTACTACTATTATAACTTTTAAAAAGCGAAATAAATAGGTAAGCTGGCATATATGTAAAATTGAAGTTTAGGTGTTATGCATGCAAATATGTAGGAATTAGGTGGTGTGTATGTGAATCTTCAAAAAAAGAAAAAGAGGGGGGGGGGGGGGGTCTCTGTTCAAAACCTTATGTTGATTTTACATTTTTAATAACTTTATCTTTCTCAATTTCCATGATGTGTTTTACTGATATTTTTTAAAACTCACCTCACCACCATCAATCTCATATTTTGGAAATATTTTGCATCCTTGTATAATCATAGAATGTTGACAAAAAAAAAGGGATAAAAACTATTTACCTTCTGCTATACTTGGTATTTTCTGTTGATAGACATGTAGAACACATGGTAAGTTGGGTGGCTAGTTTCCAGCACCTAGGTTGGCACAGTGAAGTACAACAGAAATCTTCTTCCCGTGGAAATACCACTGGCGCTGCTTCTTTGATGGGCAACTCTAGCTTCTTCGCTTGCATGGCAAGCTATCATTTGGGTTGGAATCTATGATGCATGGATGTGGACATGAGGACAAGAACACGATGCGACACAAACACGAGACACATCTATTATTGAAAAATATTGGACACAAATACATCTTAGACACGTTTCAAAAGCTTAAAGATTTCTTATGGTATAGAAAAGGTAAGCATTAGTTGTCTTGTATTACATCAAAATTTAATACCTCTTAATCAACTATTCACCAAAAGGATTAGAAAGAATGTATTTTTATTTCATCTCCACTATCACCAACATTAAGATTCCTAGCTTCCATTTCATTCGCTTTCGCTATTCTTTACATACTTATTTTTTTTTTTCGTTTTGTGATCATTGTTGACTGCATCTTTAAATGCTTCTAGGATAAAGACCCAATGCTCTTTTTCTTCAACCCATCCTTTACACCATCCTTAAATGTCATTTTTCTCATCTCATCACCAACCTTTGTTGCCCCTTCTTTCTCTCTGTTGAGAACTTTTTCTCTTTTGAAAAATCTGATTATATTGCTCACCTCTTCCTCACCCTTACATCACCTGCAAACCTATGTGACTACCACTCCATTAGCTTCTTTCTCTCTATCTAGTTGATGACCTCCCCTGAGCATCTTCTCTCTCCTCATTGTGTTCTTTGCATCGCTTGAAAACCCAACAACTTATTTGCTTCTCTGTACCTAGCATCACTTTCCTTCATGACTTGTAGAATCGGGAGCCCTATGTGAAGGCATCATTTTGAAGAAGGATATTATTTATTTGTTTATTTTTGTTATGTGAGAACTCTGCCATAATGTTGATGCATTATTGCAAGAATGTTAAAACGTGTTGGACACACAAACTTTGCTTGTCCCATATTCTAAGCCAAGAGGAGAAAAATGGGAATCATGTGCTCTTTTCCCCTTTTTGATTTACTATTTTATATAGTGGACAAAAGCCTCTCCCTTAAGATATTTGTACAGATTTATTCATTTGCATTTTTTTCATAAGAAAATTTCATTGCTTCATTTTTCCATTAAATTTCATCTGTTTTAAATGTTTGTTATTTTCCCTGCATAGTTTTCTTTCTCTTATGGTGAATTGTTTGGTGATATGCAGTATGGGAGAAAACTATTTATACTTCTGTGGCATTAGTTTTCCTGTGGGTTTCATATAATTATTATTATTTTGTTTTGTGGTTTTGTGGGGGGGGGGGGGGAGGAGATGTGGTGCTTTATACAAAAGCAGTTGTGATATCTTGCCAGTGCTTGATTTTATGTTTAATTTTCTTTGCTAGATTGGTAATGAGCTTGGAGACATTTATGACTTTGTGGCTCCTTGCTTTCCCCCAAGGTTTGTTGCTCATTTCATCTTCATCCTCTGCCTTTTTTGCTTAAACTTACTGATTTCATGCAATGGAAGAGTATTTGATTGGGTTTAACTGCAGCATGTGAAAGTATGACTGTTTAGCTTGTCATTTTTGGTCTTGAAATTTGTATTTCTTGGACTAGCAACATTTACCATTTTTATCTTCCTTCATGTGTTTGATTGATTTTCTATACCGTTTAGCAGAAATTTTGGGCTTATGCCATAGTTGAAGATTCAGATTTTTTTTTTAATATTATTTTTTAAAAAAATTTATTAATCCTTCGTCTTTGTCTGTCTGCTGGACTCGAACCATTTAAATATTCAAATGTAGTGCTAGAAAACTAAGTGGGAAAACATGTGATTGGATACCCTTGTCTGACATTTAAAGTATAATGAATGTGAAAATTAAAAGTAAAAATTTGCAATTGGTTGACAAAAACGAGATCATTTTGGGACGTTGCTTTCTTGATAACTGTTGACCTCATTTTCAGTGAGTTCTTAGTTTCTTCCTCTTAGAACCTAGGATATGACTTTAGGAGTTTCTTATTGACCATCCTAGTGGATTAGTGACGGAGCCCACCTCACCTAGAACTTTGAACCACTTCTTGACTCATTTTTGTGAAGACCTCGCATGAGTAGTCCCAAGCACTCAACTCTCAGTTGCAAGGGCTAAGGACTAACATGTAGAGGGTTCAAATATGGATTCCTATAAGATCAGGAGGCTTTAGGAATACCTATTTTGAATTTCACACATATACATTTACATACATCGAGCGTAAACCTAGCAACTCACGTCACCGACACTTACACACATTGTACCAATGATTAAACTAAAATAAATTTTCAAAATAAGCCGTCACAAACCCAAAATTTGAAGAAAAATTAAATTTGACGTTTTTTTCACCTGATTGTCGGTAAACTTGTTCGGGCCGGATGACAAAACGGACCACACCGACACGTCCAGAACGTCGATTTTAGTTGGGAGGGACACCCATATTGCTATGATTTCGCGCGAGATCAAACGACACAAATTGATGCGCGTAAATATTTAATTAAAGGAAGCGAGTCTAGGCTCAGCCCAGGTGCAATTCGGGTTCAATTTGAGCTGGACAAGGGTTGAATACGAGCTAAATGATTTCAAATTTCGGATTTCAAAATTAACCGCCCTAATTGTACTTTAATAGAGTTTAATTAGGGATCATTATTTGTCTAATAAACCTGCTCCCCACATAGAAGTTAATAAATTGCGTGCCTAATGACCTGTAACGAATATTTTGAAAGTTCAGATATACAATTCGCGAGCTCCTTCTGTCTGGCATTATTCGACTCCCCCGCTCGCCTCCTCTCCTCAGCACAAAAGTCCCCTCGCCTTACCCCCGCTCTCGAGAGATCCCACTCGACTCCTTCACCCTCTGCACAAAAAACCCTCACTCCTCTCTGCGAACAGAAGCCCTCGTCTCCCCTCCTCTGTGAACCGAAGCCCTCGCCTTCTCTCGCGTGACCCAAAACCATCACCTCCTATCCCCTACGCCGAAGCTCGCGACCTCTCTGCACCGAAGCCCTCTGCCCCTCTCCCTCCATGCCAGTGTCGCCTTCCCCTCTCCCGATCGCCTCGGCCGCAACTCCCCCACTCTACTACTCTCCTCCGCGCCGAAGCCGCTTGCCTGCTCCCCTCCCTCGCACGACCAAACACCCTCTCACGCTCGACACCCTATCCCTCTCTACAGAAACCATTGTTCGCCTCTCTTGTCCTCTATTTCCAATTCCGCCTTAAATCATTGCCGTCCCAATTGATTTTTCAGAAAATCGCGGTTTCTGGTAGCAAGGAAGCATCGACGAGATCGCTGTGAACAAAGAGCCGAAATTCCTGCACTTCTACTTTTTTTATTCAACCTCTGTTCTTGTCTGAAGGTTTGAAGGGACTTCATTTTCATTTATGCCGAGTTTTCTCATAAACTCCTCTTCTCTATTACTCATTTGCATGCTTTCGTTTATGTTTAGCAAGCTGTTGTGGTGATTTTCTCGCCTGTTTTGTTGTCGTGGTGGATTTTTGGAAACCAGTGTAGCCAGTTTCTTTAAAACTGCACTTGGAAGTGCGCTTTACTTCACGACACAAAGCCTCCTGCGAGGATTGTTAAGAACAATTGATATTTTGGCATATTCCAGTCATTTTTTTGAAGCTTTATTTTAGGGATTGATCAGAAAGCTGCTGCCTTTTGTTATGTGGTGGATTTCAACGATCAATTTTCAATACTGCCCTCTTGTGTTTGCCTCTTTTTTTTTTTCTTACCATACCATTCTGTTGAGGATACTTACAAATATGAATGATTGGCTTAGGGAAAAGTTTTTGATAAGCAGAGGGAAGATTTTTGCTTGATAGTTGTTAGTTAACTTTTCATATATTCAAACATAAGACTCCTGCAAAGTTGGCTTATGCCACTATTATCTTGCTTCAAAAGTATCTTTCTTCTGTTTGAGATATTTGTTGTTGGAAACCTGTTGAGCTTTCTATCTGCAGTCAACATATTAATTGTTGCTCCATCTTTTTTTTATTGCTATTTAAAATTGCTGTTTGGAGGTTTTTTTTTAATTATTGTTTGGGTGTCATTCAGAAGCTGCCTTTGGGCTTGAAAGCTGTTGTTTGGGTTTGAAAACAGCTGTTTGGAGATTCAAAAGCTGCTGTTGGGCTTGAAAGTTATTGTTTGGGCTTGAAAGCTGATGTTTGAAGTGCTGTTAGAGCTGTGGGAGAGCTGTGAGAGCTGTTTGGAGTGTTGTGAGAGCTTTAGAAGTGCTGTGAGAGCTGTGGGAGAGCTGTAGGAGTGCGGTGAGAGCTGGAAAAGTGTTGTTTAATGGTAGAAAGCTGTTGTTTGGGGTTTAAAAGTGTTGTCTAATGCTGTAAGCTGCTGTTTGGAGCTTTTAATTGCTGTAGGATGTTTTATAATGCTGTTTAGGTTCATATAATCGCTGTTTGGGACATTTAAATGACTGCTTGGAGTTGCTAAATGCTGTTTGAAGCTGTAGGGTGTTTCGTAATTGTTGTTTGGGCTCATTTAGTTGTTGTTTGGGCTCATATGAAGAGCTATTTGGGGGCATTGTAAATCGTTGTTTTGGAGCAGGTTTATGTAGCCTTTAAGTGCCTATTTGCACACGGTTTAGAGGTGGTTATGGGGCACCTTTGCCTATAGTTTTGAGTTTCTCTGGATCGTGATCTTATGAGGATTTAAACACCTTTTTTTTTAGCTGATCCACTCGTTTTGTTCTTCTGTCACGCTGATTTTTGGGAGTTGGGTCAGTCTCTCCTCTCCCCCCCTCCCGTTTTATTTTCTTTTTTTAGGACGATGACGACATTGCTTGTGTGTGTTTAAACGAGGAATACGAAGTGAATTTATTAGAATAATATCTCCTGCCTCGATGACCATCTAAAAGGGGATAGTAGGCTCAGAGACTATTCATCAACTCTTGCTGCGAAATTGCCTCCGACTCTCTTAGGTTGCTAGGTGATTCTAGCCCGATTGAAGCGAGCAACCGGTGGACTATTTCATTTTTTCACACTTACACAGATACTACACTCCTGCATGCATTTCCACATATATTAAAATAATAATAATAATAATAATAATCTCCATTTGCAACAACAATACTTTTATCTGCTGAATAAACTCTACATGCATGAAAAACCAAATAAACATTTGACAGAATTCTACCAAAGTCCGCTGGTTAATTATTTCGATCGTGGTTAGGAGTTTCCCTCCTTCGATAGTTTGGGTTTGTAGCATCTATCCAAATTTTTACAGGTCTTTTTTGAGCTTTCATGTGTCACCTGTTCTTTTACATACTTAAGCTCATATTTGATGTGTTTATTAAATCTTTAGTTATATCTGTTTATTTTCACATGTGATGCTAACATTGCAGCAGTTGTAGAGATCCCGTTATATATTTTACAGTTTTTTGCACTGCATTTTATTTATTTTTCCCGTACATTTTGTTTGTATATATGTTTTACATTACTCATAAACAACATGCATGCTTTACATTATTTGCAAAACAATAAAAATACATTTTCGAAAATTAATGTACACTTTTAAATCTTTTGGACACACTTAATCCATCCCTTTTTGATTTATGAGAATATCTCGGATAATGTAACCCACGGTTGCTAACGAGAATTCTCCAGTCTAAACGAGCTTAATAACTCCTTTAGACTAAGTAAATTCAAAACAAAATAGTGATGTCGGAATGAGAGAACCGTGAGATTCTAACCGGTGTCGCTCTAATTAAATTAACCCCCCTCCAAATATGACATTTGAACAACAACAAAAAAACCAAAATTTGATAAAAAAACTGTGAAACATAAAACCTCAAACCAGAACCTTCTAAACCTTGAACTGCTACTTCAACAAGGAGCTTGGAGCTAACGCTGTGGGCAGCACGACGAGGGCGTACAGACGAACATCTTCGAGAGAAGAAACAGGTCTCATTAGCAAACGTCTTCTTAGAATTAAACAATAACAACCCATAGGACTTCGAGGTAGCTCGTCAAGCGTGGCGTAAACCCTCACACTCTCTTTAGGCTCATGTGCAACCATGTTGTGCTGCGTAAGTCTTAACTCCCTTAGGTTCCGAGGCTGTCGCCCGGTACAGCGTAAGTTCTTCTATCTCTGTGGACTATTTGTATAATTGGGTATTATGCCAGTATAAGTTCCAGATAATAAAATTGACAAAATTAAACATTTAAATAACATAATCTCCAAAACTCAGCCACACAATAGGATAACTTGGGAAGTCAGTGAGGGTTCCCCTCAAGATCTGCGACGACCTCTACTGTTTCCTTCCTTCGACTCTTGAAAAAAACTGTTCCCACTTGAGTCACTTCTACTTGATTTTCCACGTCCTACCGTGAAAACCTAAAACTTGAATTCTTGAAGACTAGTACCTCTGATCGTACCTCTGATCGTGATCGTTATCGAGAGTTTTCTCAAGTGACCCCAGTCATTTAAGATGTAATTAACTATAGGGGCTTGACTCTATAGGGAATTTGAAATTCAGCTAAAATAAACTCTGGTTAATCTTTATTAGATAGAGGAACTTGTCGGTCACGCATAAATGATTCGCAGACCAAACGAATGTCATAAATCTCTTAGTTTGTTTGATTGAGTCCATCACCGAGGCACACACTTATCTTTCGTGAAAGTGTAATATTCGTGGTATCAAACACGATTATATAGACTATTGGACAAATGAGATCCATTTAGTCTCATTTTTTTTAAATTAAAACACACTACTTTTAAAACCAAAAGTATATACCTCTTATATTAAATTAAATTGACAAAATTATTTTCAAATCAAAAGTTGACCGACAATAACATGAAGGGCTGGGGGTAAAGAAACTACTACATTTGGATCATTAAACATTTTGATTATTTCCAGCGTTTTTTATTTCTTAGACTTTTATTTTTGTTTTCTTTTGTTCTGTGTTTTTTTTTTCTGCTAGCTTTCTTCATCATGGCTGGGGAGATCTTTAGTTGAATAATATTTTCACCAAGTTGTTCCACTTCTTATCTTGAAGTTAGTTCATGATGTACTACTGAACCACTACCATGCCAGCCGCCACATTATCTCACTTGTCAGCTAAATGACAATTTTAAAATGATTTTAGAAATTTGATAATGTAGTGGACTGTGCATGTCATGATTTTTTCGTGATAGGGTTGGTACACACTACTTTTAAAACCAAAAGTATATACCTCTTATATTAAATTAAATTGACAAAATTATTTTCAAATCAAAAGTTGACCGACAATAACATGAAGGGCTGGGGGTAAAGAAACTACTACATTTGGATCATTAAACATTTTGATTATTTCCAGCGTTTTTTATTTCTTAGACTTTTATTTTTGTTTTCTTTTGTTCTGTGTTTTTTTTTTCTGCTAGCTTTCTTCATCATGGCTGGGGAGATCTTTAGTTGAATAATATTTTCACCAAGTTGTCCCACTTCTTATCTTGAAGTTAGTTCATGATGTACTACTGAACCACTACCATGCCAGCCGCCACATTATCTCACTTGTCAGCTAAATGACAATTTTAAAATGATTTTAGAAATTTGATAATGTAGTGGACTGTGCATGGCCTCTTCGAGTTTATTCTTTGCCTGATTTTTTAAAGGTGCATCATATTCAATTTTTTTAAAGCTGATGACCTTTTGTTTTAATTTCTTATTTTCATCTAGCTTTTGGGTCTCTATTCAAATCCTACTGTAATTCCTGGGCTGTGTATTTTGGTTTTGGAGACAAGTAATTCTTTGGACAATTGCTAATCCTCAATTGGAGGGGAAACTCTTCCGAACTTGAGTAGATTGATTGATGTTATCCTCTATGAGATCTTTGTCATATTAAACTATACTTATTTCCCTGATACTTTTGTTGATAACCTTCAACTTTTAGTCGTACAATGAATTTAATATTTTTTTAAAGAACCATCATGTTCTGGGAAAATACTTTTGTTTATTACATTCTAACGTCATAGTTTCTCGTCTGTTGCAGATATGAAATTTTCCAGCTAATGGTTAATCAATATACGGAAAGGTTTATTCAAATGCTTAGGCTTTTCAGTGATAGGGCAGATAATTTAACAAATATAGAAATATTAAAGGTAAACAAATTTTTCTTTCAGAGAAATTCTTTACTTATGTACTATGCCCTCCACTCCATTCAAAAAGCAACGATCCAATTGTGGAGTACATTTACTGCTTTGGTTTCCGTTTACCAATTTGAATTTTTTAACACTTTTAAAAACTGATTACATTTAGGTGACTGGATGGGTTGTTGAATACCAAGAAAATTTGATTGGCCTTGGAGTTGACGAGTCTTTAGCTCAGGTCTGTTCTGAAAGTGGCGCCATGGATCCACTAATGAATGCATACATGGAACGGATGCAAGCTTCAACGAAGGTAATTTGCCTGTTAAAGCTTAATTTAGCCGGAGAGAATGCAGCTTAACATTTTTTTTAATATTTTTCTAACACAGAAATGGTACACAAATATTTTGGGTGCTGACAAGGTACAACCGCCTAAGAAAACAGAAGATGGCAAGCTGTACACACCAGCAGCTGTGGATCTATTTCGAATTTTGACTGAACAAGTTCAAATTGTTAGAGAGAACAGCACAGACGTTATGCTGTACCGTACAGCACTTGCAATTATTCAGGCAAGATTTTGTGCTTAGTAGTTTTTCAAATTATTTGTAAATGAAGACTTGTAACTTCAATTCAAGATGTTGCTGGCCCTATATTATCTTAATGTTTAGGTTCACGATTATAATCATAAACCATGTTTATTTTTTAAACTGGCTAATCAATCATTTCTGGATAAAAATGTGAATAATGTTTTTACCCTTTCTACATAGAATTGATTCATCTTAACGACAGAATCAAAATTTAATCAAATCACCTAAAATCACAAATGTAGAAGTCATTATTCTGTAATATGATTGATTCTTTCAAAAACTGAATGACCAATAGGATGTGCTTGACCTGTAAAGACAAAAATTTTTATTCTTGACTGAGATACCTGAGCTTGAGCGGTACACATAATCTGGTCATATATTGGCCACCAAACCAGCTGACAGAGTTTTTAGCAATGCCATGCATTGAATCACACAAATGAGCCTTGAAATAATTTTCCAATGCAGAAATTATATTTTTAAGTTCTAAAGAAGTAAAGCTGTTGTTGTTGTTGTATTGCTTGTAATGTAGGAGGATTGTGGAGACCTTTCTTGAAATTATACGACATTAAAATTTTAGGGAAGTCTATTGGTTTAAAAATCGGATATTTTCGGAATGATCACAGTTAGCATAGCTATTTTGGATGGGCTGTCGCCATTGATGGCTGCTTCATGCATTTGATTTACCCATTCATTCTGAAATGGTAAATCTGCATTTATTGTTTCTTGTATTTACTGCTTCTTATAATTACGATAGATGAATGTCAATTCTAAATTGAATGAAAATGTGAAGCTTCAGCATTGAGAAGCTTGGACTTGTTATGTACCTTATTGATATTTAGGGTGCATTTGGGGTGGCTTATCCACAGCTTAGGCGTTTTCAAACGCAGGGAGGGCTTTTGTTTATTGCGTTTGGAGTGCGTGGAGCCAAAAGCGATTATCGCTTTAATACTAGATGCAGCCCGCAGCCTCATCCCCGCGGGCCAGCGTCTCGATCCAATTTTTACTTATATACCCCCCTGAACTCGCCCTCTTCCCTGCGTCTCGTGCCCTAGGATTTGATCGTCTACCCTGTTCTTGTCGCTCTCTCCCCTGCGTTTCTTGCCCTAGGTTTCGATTGGTCTTCTCGTTCTCTCCTCTGCGATTAAACATCGCTTTGCTCTATAAGTATTTAACATTATTTTGTTGTGATCCGTAACATTGGAGCATTGCGTTGAGGGTCTTTGGAGCATTGCGTGTCAATGGCTCTTCTAATTCACGATAAAGTGTTTTCCGTGCGTTGAGAGTCTTTGGAGCATTGGAGATGGTTTTCGTTTTTTGTTGTTGGTTTTTGGACATTCATGGTTGCTATTATTTCCGAGATTGGCATTCGTTTTTTAAATTTCCATTACCTTGGAGTATGGTAAATTTTGCGATTGGCAGATGTGGCATTTTGGAGAAATGAGGATGGAGGATTTGGGGAGAAATAAGGATTTCTTTTAGGTTTCCTAATACTCACTATTAGTTGAGGTGTATATCTTTTTTTGTACTATTCTGAAGGGGTTTTATTACTTCTAAAATATCTAATGTGTGGACATTGCAGTTTTGTTGTGAACTGTACAACTGCTCCGTGTCAAATTATTCATTTCTTTAGAAAAAAACTGCAAATCAGAAACCAAACATCTAAATAACTTTTATGCAGACAAGGGCTGAATGATCATTTATTATGAATCAGCTGTTTTCGAAATGCACAAACCAAACAACCAACCAGTTTATTAGGATAAGTTGTAATCAGCAGATTATCAGGATAAAATGTTTATTTGGATAAATTGGAAACAGACCCTTAAAATAACAATGATATTAACAAGAATAAGATTGTGTCAATTCTATCTTTAGGGAACAAAGAATATCAAACAGAAGTAGATTGTAACGATTATATTGATGGTTGAAGTTATGAATTCTTATTGTTTATAAAGATGGCAAATCATTGCGAAGCATTTGAAACAACATATTGCACAATGGAAAGAAAATGTTCCCTTAAATTAGTGAAATTCAAATATCCTGATTTTGGGGCTAATTGTATAAATAATAAATCATATTGAGTTCATTTTCTTGTATTTTGTTATTTTGACCGCTTTTCTGTCTGATTATTATTATTTTTGTAATTTTCTTTTGTGCTATAGGTTATGATTGATTTTCAAGCTGCTGAGAAACACAGGTTAGAAGAACCAGCTTCTGAAATTGGCCTGGAGCCTCTCTGTGCCATGGTTTGTTCCTTTACATTCAATCAAACATTTTAATTTTTTGACGTGTCCCTAAATTACAACCAAGGTTTTGCTTAATTTTAATTTTTTAAATATTCAATTCAGATTAATAACAACTTGCGTTGCTATGAGCTTTCGATTGAGCTTAGTAACAGCACCCTTGAAGCTCTTCCGCAAAACTATTCTGAGCAAGTAAGTAGCATTACCTCTGTATAACTTTGTCCGGTGAATATGTAGTTGTCTATGGAATAATTTAGGCTCCAGGGTGTTGAATTATTCAGCTGATTAATTTCTTACTAGTTAATTATTTTTTTCTTTTCAGTAACCAGCATGATCTTAGCTTGTGTGGCCTGTCTTCTTGTTTTTCCTATCCAATTGCTGGGTGAGCTGATCTTAACAGGATTTCGCGCATATTACCAAAATCTTTCTTATTACAAAATTTTCATCCGGGTTATTGAAATGAACTATCAAATCCATGGATTCACACACCTGACCACCAAACCATTAAGAAATTAATTAAAGCAAAAAAGCATGGGATGGGTTTTATTGTGGTTTTTGAGATTTGGGTGTTATTATTGTCAATTGAGGTAGTTTGATGTCAGTATTGTAAAGAAGCAAGATTTTTGTTTTGTAAGAAATTGCCCCAAAAATGGATATGTTTTGTGAGAAATTGTCTCTAAAAATTATTATGTTTTCAGGAAATCAGCTAATTTGAGCTAATGATAATCATATCCCTCTAAGCAATGTCAGCCGGGATTTTAGAAAATGGAGATTTAAATTTGAATTTAAGTATATATAGATATCAATGTAATTTTGATTTAAAAAAAAAGAAAATAATATTTTTTATTTTAAAATAAATGAGACCAAAGAGATCTCACATATTTAATAGTTTGGACGACTGAGCGCGATACTACAAGTAACACACTATTTCGAAGGATAAACATATCGCTTGTAGTAGGCTCAACCACTCAAACCAAAGAATTTTGTAACATCGTTTGGTTTGGGCTGCGAAACCTTTTATATGAGGCTGACAAGTTCCTCTACCTAATATAAGGATTAGATTAGATTTATTTTATCTGGGTTTTTAGTTCCTTATAGAAGCAAACTCCTATAGTTAATTACATCTTAAATGACCGGGGTCACTTTAAACTCTCGATTAAGATCAGTGGTTCTACCTTCAAGATTTCAAAGTTTAGGTTTCCAATATTGGACATGGGAAAGTCAAATGGGAGTTGCTTTTATGTCTTTGAAATGATGGAGTGACCTTCCATCTATCCTACTGTTTGGCTTTATTTTTTTGAAATGATGTTATTTAATGTTTAATCTTGCAATTTATTTAAGAATTTAGGACTTACATTCGCACGATATCCGATCGTGCAAATAGCTTAGAAAGATAGGAGGATTTACATCATATTGCACGACAACCTCAAAATCATTAAAGTGTTAGGTCTTCATAACAGGGTTGCGCAAAAGCCTAAAAGACAAGATGAGGATTTACAATGCGCTAAGCAAACTATCTCGAAGTCTTATGAGTTATGTTATTTATTCTACAGAAAGGTTTAGCTGATGTGGACTTATTTTGCTGTTGCAGATCGTCATCCTTCGTCTGCTACGTCATAGTCGTGCTGCCCACTAAGACTTACTGCATGCCCCATGTCGTAGTAGCCTCAGGTTTAATGTTAAGTTTAAATGTACATGCAATTGTTGGGTTGGTGGTTTGTCACTGGGTACCTCCTATAAAATCAAACTATTGTCCTTCTATTCTAAAATATATAATACACAAAAGAAACAGTTGGAGGTGCAATAAAGAAAATGCATTAAATTTACAGTAAAGAAGAGCAGTAGAATGTGCAGTAGAGACAATAAAATGCTATAAACATAAAATAAATTTGTGTACCTGACAGGTATGCTGCTTTTGCGAATGAGATTAGCTCACAGGTGAAAGTAAACAAGTATAGTGGGGAGATTAGCAGGTAGGGCAAAAATGCATTTATGTATAAAAGAACAAGTGGGAATGCATCTTATGAAAGACTCGAGGAAAACCGCAAGTGATTCCCAAAAATGAAGAAAAATTGTAGGAAACTGTTGACCTCAATTTTTCGTGAGGTCTAGTATTCCTCGTAGGAGTTAGGATCTAGCCTTAGGGGTCTTCCTGCGACTATCTTAGATTCTTAGAAGTGGGACCCGCCTCGTTTTAGTTTGACCTGCTTCCGTCCCCTTCTGGAGTTTCGCGTGTGTGGTATCAACTTCTAGCACTTAGAAGGACGAAACCAACATGAGGAAACCCAAAAGGGATTCCCTATAGGACCTTCCTGAGCCTTAGGGTGGCCTTTTGCACAATTCGCACTCCCGCGCGCACAAGCTTCGCAATTCGGAGGGTCGATACGTCCGATCGCCGCAATTCGCATTGTCTGCATTGTTACTTGTCGAATGCTCAATTAAACTTTTTGGGACGATCGATCGCGGGTCAAAATTTTGTGAAATTCAAATTTCGGCGAGTTTTTTACCCGATCGTCGACAACGTCGTCCGAGCGACCCCGGATGACGAAACGGACTGCGCCAACGCGTCC